GGKTTYMAAAACATCGGAAATGTTCACGTCCATAATTATAAAGAATATAATAATCTTACCGATTGAAAATCCAAATTGGAACTGAACATTGAAACGTTGAAACATTTAGTTATTTTCAAAACCATATCTTATAAAGATTGTTAAACTTTTTTTTCGCGATAACCTATAATGGCAATTAGCGTATGTACCTAAACGTGCTATGTGTTTGTGTACCCAAACGTGTTCTACATTTACAGGTAAAAATAATGTTATGTACCCAAACGTGCTTCGCCCAAAATTATATTGATCTTATGAAAACTCAAAGTTAAGATAGTTTTATAATATAAAGTTGTGCTACAGTATAGAAAGTAATACATTAAAATTGTATCTTTATGTAAGAACTKATATCTTGTGGTCAAAACTATATGGTAATAAAAGATTAATAAGTTAAAACTGAGTTATTTTTAATTACGCTAATTAATAACAAATAGTTAACTTTTTAGAATAATATTCGTTTGCTGTTTACAGTTTATCTATACAAACAGTAAAATAAATTACCTTACCTTAATAATTAATAGCTATATATATATTTTATTTGATAATAGGCTGCAGACAGACTATCTCCGCACAGGATCGTTTACTGTAAGCGATGATTTATCATTGAACTCAAATTTAACACATCCATTTCAGTGACATATTTAACTAAAAATTAAAATAGATACGCTCAACTAGTATGACACAAAAGATTGGTCACTTAATTTTTTTCCTGTTTAACTTGTAAATTTTCAGGTTAAAAATAAATAGGTAATACAATAAACGTATAACTATTTAATTTACGCTATCGTCTATATTAACTCAAAAAACTATCTGCAATGATTTTTTCAAGTAAGAACTTGTGATTTTTAGACGTCAACATATTATGTACATATGTATATAGATTTTATGTAGCTATTTACCAGCTAAGTTTAGTGTGTGAACTTGGCAAATGACTTCCSCTTGGCGTGAATATCAACGTGAAGTCATTGAAATTTCAGAAAACTATGATTAGAAGATAGCTCACTCGATCGCAGAAAGTTTGGTAAGTRTTGCTAGTCGTTTATAAAGAAACACTCGTTTCGAGACGTGTTGGACATATATTTTTTAAGCACATTATTTATCACGGACAGAAGATATTTTTACAAAATTATTAAAATTATAAAATGTATTTTGGTTCTTTATATCATTATATTTATCCACGTGGCTCGTAAACGTATTCATGCATTGATATATATAGTTTTTAAATTCATAATATTTAATATTTTGCTTATATTGATTACTATAACGTATTTTTAGTCTATGTAATTGAGTAGGGTTTCGTGAATCATACATTTGTCGTGTTTTTCGTGATCCGAATGCGCGTAATTTCAATTCAATTAAATTTGTTCAATTTAAAACGCCAAAAATAAATCATATAAATATAATATTACATTTCTTTAATTAACCTGTATTAAACACGAAACCATTTCTGTCAGCGAGTACAGATTAAAAAAAAAAAATGGAGGCAAAGAAAAACGATATTTTTTGTTGTTTTTTTTTTATAAATTTTAAACTTCTATTTTTAATAATATCATTACGTCGTGCGTTATTATAAATTGAAAACGATTTTTCAATATAAATTATAATAATTAATAATGCAGTATAAACGTATAATAATCGTTATGGATAATAATCACAATTTATGGAATATAATTCATATACAAACGTCGCGTGTTATATGTTTATATATATATAAATTTATATTTTGATCGACGACAGCGGATGACGCTCGGTCTACAATAGCGATCGATGCGTACTTCCGGCCGCGAAACAATAATAATTGTTATAGTACATTG